ATGAACTGCCTATGGGGGCTATGATGTTGTCTAATAGGACTATGTTTTGCCTAAGAGGGCTATGTGTTGCCCACGGGGTTATATTGATGCCAATGAGTGTTATGTGATGCCAAAGAGTATTATGTGTTGCCTACAGGGCTATGTTGATGCAAAAGAGGACTATGTGCAGCCCATAGAGCTATGATGTTGCCTAAGAGGGCTATGTGCTGCCTACGGGGCTATATCGTTGCCAAAAAGGGCTACGCGACTTTTTACAAAGACAAGGGGCTATCGATAGGGGTATGTAGATTGATTTGGCACCTTCTTGGCTTATGTGTTCCTAGGTAGTGGTATTTTGTTTGTACCTGCCGAGCTTATGGGGGCTTGGTTAGGTTGATGTTTGATCATTTTTGTATTCTTAGATTCAGTAGCGGGTTAGCATGCTTATCTAAAATTTTGATTTCCTTACGTGATTACTTTTGGTATAGTATGATACTTTCTCACTTAGTCTATAGCCTTTCATACTCTGTATATTATTTTGTACTGACGCCTCATTGCCTTGGGGGCGCTGCATTCATCCATGTAGGTGCGGACAGACGATGTAGTGGACCTCCTCAGTAGCATGATTGACTTCTATCCGATTGGCTAGCCCCTTTCCTCCGGAGCTGCCAGAGTTGGGAGGTTTGTTACCTTTTGTTGTATATATCTTTATGGGTAGGCTGGGGCCCTGTCCCGCCAATCTTTACTACTCTTAGAGGCTTGCAGACTAGTTTGTGTGGTGTATAGCTACGTTATGGTCATACTGGCCTAGTTTGTTGGTTTACTGAAACTTGTGAGTTGTTTGATGTATTGTATTTATATATACCTGCTTTTAGTTTTGGTAATGATATCATGGTGGCTTCGACGACCCAATCAGGACTTCTGTGCTAGTTGGCTATTAATTTATATCATCTCATGGATTAACTGTTTCTTTTATAGATCAGTTGACAGGGGCCTTGCTGACCGAGGGCTTAGTTTTAAGCTGAGATATACTTGTTTGTTTTCTTGATTGCATGTAGCTGCCATGCGCTAGTAGCAAATGGTTCAGCAGGGTCGGCTCAGGCCTGAGTTTTGGCATTGGGAGCCAGTTACGCCCCTCGAGTTTGATGTGTGACACTAAATTAAATTATTTCTGATGAAATCAAAAATCTAGACAGACTCCGCGACGTGGCTCCTTGATGGAGCTGCCTTCTTGTTGACGTAAAGATAACTTACCATCGAAATCAAGTTGAGGGATATTCTCCACGACTCGGCAAGTCCACGGACCACTCTATTTCGTTTTGGAAAATAAATTCCAAGAGAGGCAAAACTTCTTCACTCCTCTGCGACGCGGAACTGTCACGTAGCAACTTTATTTTTGATGGAAAAACTACTTTTTGTCGAATCCAAATTTAGGGCCCCTCTCCGCGATGCGAGATGGTCACGGACCATTCTGCCTTGACTTGGAAAATTAATTCCAAACGAGGTGAAAGTCAAATGTCTCTCCAAGACGCGCAATGGGTCTTAACTTCTGATTCCTGCACATTTTAAGCTCAAAACCCATTAGTACAAACACGATAAGTTGCCTCCCATCCAGTGCCTTAGTTTTGGTCGTGGCACGACTAATATTTTTTGTATTTTTCTGGATATATCATTATTTTATTTTATTTTTATATTCTTTTTTTACTAATTCCTATGAATTGAAATAACAAAACAACGAATAGAAATATTAACTATTACAAGGGGTCACGGGTTGCCTCCCGTACAACGCCTGATTTAACGTCGCAGCACGACCCATCGAATGACTCACTCATCATTCAATGTGAGCGCTTCAAGCTCACGATCAGCATCATTTCCAAAATAGTGCTTCACATGTTGCCCATTCACAAGGAAAGTAGAGCTCTTATCCTTGTTCCTTAACTACACCGCACCATGTTGGGTCATCCTCACAACTTCAAACGGACCACTCCACTTAGATCGAAGCTTTCCGGAGAACAACTTCAATCGTGAATTAAATAGCAGCACTAATTGACCAGGCTCAAAGGTGCGTGACACAATATGCTTGTCATGCCACCTCTTGGTCTTCTCTTTGTAAAGTTTGGCATTCTCATATGCGTGAAGCCTAAACTCTTCTAACTCATGCAGCTGCGTTATCCTTTTCTTACCAGCTAACTCAGCATCCAGATTTAACTTTTTGATCGCCCAGTATGCTTTATGCTCTAATTCAGCTGGGAGGTGATACGATTTCCCAAACACCATTCGATAAGGAGAAGTCCATATCGGTGTTTTGTATGCAGTCCGGTATTCTCACAAAGCATCATCTAACTTGTCAGCCCAATCTTTCCTTTGGGCATTTAGTCTTTTGGAAAATCTGCTTCACTTCTCTATTAGACATTTCCACCTGCCACTAGTTTGGGGATGATACGTTGTAGCTACCTTGTGTCTTACCCCATATTTAGCCAACAAATGTCGCACTAAACTATTAATAAAGTACGTACTTTCATCACTGATCATGGCCCTTGGAGTTCCAAACCTGGTGAAGATATGCTTCCGGATGAATTTCACTACCACCTTTGCATCATTGGATGGTAATGCAATTGTTTCCACCCAGTTGGACACGTAGTCCACTGCCACTAAGATCTATTAATTTCCACGGGATGATGGGAATGGTCCTATGAAGTCTATCCCCCAGACGTCAAAGATCTCAACTTCCAGTATATTGTTCAATGACATCTCATGTCTTCTAGAAATGGTGCCCATCCTTTGACACTGATCACAACCCTTTACAAACATAGCAACATCTTTAAAACGAGTAGGCCAAAAGAAACCAGATTGCAATACCTTATATGCAGTACGTTCGCCCCCGTGGTGTCCACCATATAGTGAAGAGTGAAAACTCTCTAACACTTGTGTCGCCTCTTGTTTAGCTACACACCTTCTCACCATCTGATCAGGTCCCTACTTGAATAAGAAGGGATCATTCCATACATAGAAGTGTGCATCATACTTCAGCCTCTACTTTTGATGTGTTGAGGCCCCAGGTGGAAATAAACCACTCACCAGAAAATTAACAATGTCAGCATACCAAGGCACTTAAGCAAGGTCCAAGGCAAGCAATTGTTTATCGAGGAACTCTTCGCAAATCTGTCCTTCATTTTTCACATGAGATGAGTCCTCCAATCTGGACAGATGATCAATTATTTGGTTTTTAGTTCCCTTCTTAGCTTTTATCTCTAGATCAAACTCTTGCAAGAGCACGATCCATCTAATCAACCTCAGCTTGGAATCCTTGTTGCTAAACAAATACCGGATTGCAGCATGATTAGTGTAAACTACAACCTTGGTTCCTACCAAGTATGACCTGAACTTATCAAATGCAAACACTAATGCCAGCATCTCTTTCTCGGTGACAGTATAATTTGATTGGGCTGCATCAAATGTCTTGCTTGCATAGTAGATAGAATGAAACATCTTATCTTTTCGCTTCCCAAGCACTGCCCCAACCGTTATATCACTAGCATCACTCATAAGCTCGAATGGAAGCACACAATTAGGAGCAATCCGAATAGGTGCTTCTATCAATTTCTTCTCCAACAACTCAAATGCCTGCAAACACTTTTCATCAAATACAAACTTCATCTCTTTCTCTAATAGGTTGCACATGGGTCTTACAGTCTTAGAGAAGTCCTTGATGAATCTCTTGTAGAACCCAACATGTCCCAGAAAACTTCTAACTCCCTTCACTGTGATGGGGGGTGGCAACTTCTCAATAACCTCCACTTTAGCTCTGTCAACTTCAAACCAATTCTTGGAGATTTTGTGTCCCAACACAATCCCCTCTCGAACTAAGAAGTGACACTTCTCCTAGTTTAACACAAGGTTTGTTTCTTCACACCTAGCAAGGACCCTGTCAAGATTAGTTAAACAAAGGTAAAAAAACTCACCAAACACCAAGAAGTCGTCCATGAACACCTCAACAAAATCCTCCACCATATCATGGAAAATTTCCATCATGCATCTTTGAAATATCGCCGGTGCATTGCATAATCCGAATAGCATGCGCTTGAACGCATAAGTGCCATACAGACAAGTGAAGGTAGTCATCTTCTGGTCCTCTGGTGCAATAACAATCTAATTATAACCTGAGTAGCCATCCAGGAAGCAGTAGTATTCTTGCCCTGCCAATCTATCCAACATCTGATCAATAAAAGGCACCGGGTAATGGCCCTTTCTAGTGGCATCATTCAAATTCATGTAATTCATGCAGATGCGCCACCCAGTTACTATCTTTGTGGGGATCAATTTCATTCTTCTCATTAGTTACCACAGTCATTCCGCCCTTCTTGGGCACACACTGTACTGGACTCACCCATTTACTATATGATATAGGGTACACGATCCCTGCATTTAACCACTTCATCACCTCTTTTCTCACCACATCCTTCATCACTGGATTTAGTCTCTGTTGATGCTGCGCACTCGGCTTATGCCCTTTCTCCATGTAAATTTTATGCATGCATAATGCGGGACTAATTCCATGGATGTCGGATATTTGCCAACCCAAGGTTGCTTTTTTCTTCCTCAAGATGATTAATGTTGCTTCCATCTGGGAATCAGATAATGCTGCAGACAAAATAACTGGTAAGGTCTTATGTTTACCTAAGAATGCATACCTGAGGTGGGCTGGCAATGCTTTTAACTCCAACTAGGGTGCTTCTTCAATGAAGGGCTTGGGTGGAGGACCCAACACCCTATTTAACGACTCCCATCGATATCCTAATGTACCTACAAGTGCCATATCAAGAAATTGTACCATTTTCTACGCCTCAACATCCCCACAGATATCATCTCCTACTAGCACTCGCTCTAACGGGTCCTTGTACACATCGAACACCTTCACTTTATCATGTGCCCGCATAGTGAGTTGCCCAATGGTTACATCTATCATAGCACGCCCAATAGCCAAGAAAGGTCTTCCCAAGATGAATGGGACCTCATGATCTGGCTAGAAATTCAGCATTACAAAGTCTACTGGGAATATCAATGATCCCACTTGCACTATGACATCCTCTACAACACCCTCAGGCCTAACAACAGATCTATCAGCCAACTGTAACATGATGGTAGTAGGTTTAGGACTACCCAACCACAGCTTTTAAGACAACGAAGTTGGCATCAAATTTTACTAGCTCCTAGGTCACACAATCCTCGCGCATGAATGCTCTTCCCTATAGTGATTTAAACTGTAAATCTACTCGGATCTTTCAGTTTGATGGGTAACTTATTTTGGATTCGGAAATTGCACTCTTCAGTAAGTGCAACAGTCTCATATTTAGTCAGTTTCCTTTTGTTTGGCACAATCTCCTTCACATATTTAACATACACGGGTATACCCTGCAGAACATCTACCAATGGAAAGTTAATGTGAACTTGTTTCAAAAGAGATAGAAACTTACCAAAACATTCATCCTCCTTCTGTTCTTGAACTTTTGAGGGAACGGAGGAGGTGGTTTCTGTAACGACCCTAAAAATGAACTAGGTGAACTAGAGCCTCTCATGTTTTTTTTTTATGGTTGGTCATGTGATGTTTATGGTCATATCTCATGGCTCAAAACGAATTAGGTGATCCCCCTTCACGGTCCGTAAAGTCTTCCTTGGTCCCTGACGAGGCTGCCCTAGTGAGGGGTTTATAAGTAATTTCGTTTTAATTGTTTATTATGTGGGGTTGATTTTAAATGGTTTATATGATAAATATATAAGGTTTTAAGTCTATTTTAAAGTCATTCTCCAAAAAAATTCAAAACCCTCCCTCTCTCAAAACTCTCTCAAGACCCCATGGAAGCTCAAGGTGAAAGATGGAGCTAAGTTGATGGTGGCTACTGATTTCTTCTTCAATTTCGTTTGGTTCTTCAAGATTAAGGTATGGGGACTCTTCATCTTTGATTCCTTCTTCAATCAAAGAGTCAATTCAAAAGATTTCAAAGTTGTTCAAAAACTCAAAAACAAACCTAAATTCAATTCTAGCATGGGTTCTTGCATTAAATGATTCTAAATGATGATTTATGTTATTTTTGATGTTTATTGATGGTGTTAAGAAAGAAATCTTCATGAACCCATGTCTTCTCAAATTCTCTAAAATTGGCCTAAATTGGGTGTATTGATTTTGAGTAACTGATGAATGATTATTGAATGGTTAGATGTGGGCTGTTCTTATATGATCTTAGCTATGTTGAATTGTTGGAAATTGTTATTTAATTGTATAATGTGAAGTAGTAGCCTTGAATGGTTATAAATTGGGATTTAGCCTTTATGTTGGTTATTGGACATTGTTTAGCTTAACTTGTATAGTTGAATGTTGTTATTATCATTGTTATTGTATTGTAAGTTGTTGGACTATGAGGATGATGAAGATAGCTATGGAAAGAGGGTAAGTTGATCTAACTTGATGAATATTGTATAAGTTGCATGGAATTGAGTATTGTGGCTTATGGCCTTTGAAAGGTGGTAAGATGGCCTGATATCTTAATAATGCTATAATTGCTTTTTAGGTTGGATCCACCTATGGTGGAAGTGTTGCTTGTTGCTTTTGAATTATGATTGTGGTCATGAAGGGAATTATATGAGTATTGTGTATTGTTGTGTTATTATATATAAGCAAGTCTATATGTAAAGTCCTATATGTAAACCTTTATGTGAAGCTATATGTGAGGATATGATGTGAATGAGTTTATGTGATCTTGTGATGATCCTATGTAAAGTGGATAGCGTTGTGATCTAAAGTATGATTTCTCATGATGTATATATGTGATGATGTTGGATTGTGAAGTGTCCTCAGATGATAATGATGTGACTTGATTAGTAGCCTAAAGTGTCTCTTCTTGTTACTTAAAGTCTTGAACGCATGAATGTGTGAAGTGGGCTAGAACTAAGAAATGGTGCCCTTTCTATAAATGCTAAAAGAGGAATTCTAGGCCAAGACTTGTATCGGAAGAACTAAGAAATGGTGCCCTTTCATCAGTCTAGCTTTCCTAAATAAATGAATAACCTTGAAGGATGGGCCTTAGGGCGATGTTCCCTTCTTGAGTGAAATGATAGACTTAGACATGGATGGAGCTGGAACGGCATGAGAATCCTTATCTAAGAAATTTAAATGAGCTATCCTTATGAACCTTGATTGGCTATGACTAAGAAATGGGGCCTTTCTTGCGAAGAGGTACTATGAGTTGGTTGAATTTGAAAATGTTATGGGTCAGTAGACC